TGGTTTTGGCCCTGTTGCCCTTTTACAGAGTTCAGGAAAGGACAGATTTTATTTCATTATATATTACCTGAAAGGACCTGATTACTAATTTTTGATCTCTGAAGATGAAAACCTCAATGTGCAGCCAGCTGATGCTCCCACATCATCTAGCACAGAAGGCAGCTTGTAGGGTAAGCTGTGGGCACTCTCATGAACTACTTTTCAAGTGCTCTGTGGTGAATGTCCATTTTTTTTTTTACAACCCATTATGAATTAATAATTTTGTAAAATATAATAATAGTGAAATAAAAACAAAAGGAACTCTACAAAATATAAGGTCTGATTTATTATTACTGTTATAGTCAACAACTACAACATTACCATGTCAAATTGCTATAAATGATTCTCTGCAGACTTTCAAAGCCGTGACAGCCTGCAGTCTGGTACAGGCCTGAATGAACTTGGAATAGCATTGCCCTAACCTACTGCCTGACCTTTCTGAAGGGAAAACAGATGGCTACCTGTATTAGAGAGTTTAGATAGTCTCAGGTTTGTAGGAGGGAAGACCAGGCAATGTTTGAAGGTCATTCCAGTTTGCTGATTCCTGACCTGGGTCATTTGGGTCCATTTCTGCTCATGGCTTCCATTCACCTGTAATGAAAGCAGGGCTTCTGGGCTCATTTGTGTCTCTGTGTCTTGGGCTCCTTGTTCAACACGGTTCTCCTAAACTGCCAGTGTTTGATGCTTGGAAATAACTCCCTCCTCCCCAACATTTAGCTTCAATAGAAAGGAGGAGGAAACATTTACAATATCTCCCTGGATTTTTAATCTCAAAATACCATCTTCAATTGTCATTGGACTGTACAGTTTTAGCCCATGACACAATTCCTTTTTTTTTTGTACTGGGGATTGAACCCAGAGGTGCTTTACCACTGAGCTTCATCCACAACTCTTTTTATTTTGAGCAAGTGTCTAAGTTGCCGAGGCTGGCCTTGAACTTGGGATCTCCTGCTTCAGTTTCCCAAGTTGTTGGGATAACAGGCATGTGTCATTGCATGTGCCACCTGGTCATGACATAATTCTTAACTACTTCAAGTGTTTCATTACATATGTATCACTGTGCAAATTTTTTATTTTATTTTATTTTTGCTTTTTGCAATGCTGGGTATCAAACTCAAGGTCTTTTTTTTTTTTTTTTTAAAGCTTGGTCGAAAGTATTTGAATGGACTGAGACATGCACATAAGTAACAACCACCTTTTAAAAATAATTTTTTAATACTTATTTTTCAGTTTTCGGTGGACACAACATCTTTATTTTATTTTTATGTGGTGCTGAGGATCGAACCCAGCGCCCCGCACATGCCAGGGGAGCGTGTTACCACTTGAGCCACATCCCCAGCCCCAAACTCAAGGTCTTGTACATGCTAGACAAGTACTCCACCAATGAACTGCATCCCCAGCCCCTTACAGTTTAAATGTTGATGTGACTCATACTTTTCGTCACAATATCTTGACAAATAATTCTCTTTAGCAATATGAGCATTTTTGCCTGTGCCACCAAACAATCTTGCTTCATTAGAGCTTGACTTCTAACTTTTTATAGAGTAGGGATAGGTAAATTAATGTTGCTAAGAAAGAGGGAATTTTCTAGTTTTCTTTTCTCCTATCTGTTCATTTTTATCCTGATTAATTTCATGATTTTGGTTTGTTTTAATCAGTTATTTTTTTGTTGTTGTTGCTGTGAATAACCAGAACAACTGTAGAGGAGGAAAAGTTTATCTGAGGTCTCATGGTTTCAGAGGTCTCAGTCCATAGGAAGTTGGTTCCATTCCTTGGGGCTCAAAGTGAGGCAGAACATCATGGTAGAAGAGTGTGGCAGAGGAAGGCAGTTCACATGATGATCAGACAGCAGAGAGAGTGACTCTACTTACCAGATACAAATATATACCCCAAAGCCATGCTCCCAATGCTCCATTTTCTCTAGTCACACCCAACCTGCCTTCAGTTACCACTCAATTAATACCATCAGATGATTAGACCATGGATTGGGTTAAGACTTTCACAACCCAATCACTTCTCCTTTGAAACTTCTTGCATTATCTCACACATAAGCTTTTGGGGATACCTCACATCCAAACCATAAGAAGGTTTCTAATTTGAATTTATCATCTTTAAAAAATTTCTATAATCTGTGGTGGTGCATCACTGTAATCCCAGTGATTTGGGAGGCTAAGGCAGGAGGATGACATGTTTGAGGCCAGCCCCAGCAATTTAGTGAGAACCACAGCAACTAGGCATGACCCTGTCTCAAAACAGAGAATAAAAAGCAATGGGGATGCAGCTCAGTGGTAAAGTGCCTCTGGGTTCAATCTCCAGTATTCAAAATAAACAAATAAATGAAAATAAAAAATTACAATCTGCTATAAAACAAGTTTAGCCAATTTGCTTAATAAAAATATAATTTACGGGCTAGGGGTGTAGCTCAGTGGAACAGTACTTGCCTAGCATGAGTGAGGCACTGGGTTCTATCCTCAGTACCGCATAAAAATAAATAAATAAAATAGAGGTATTGTGTCCATCTAAAACTAAAATTTTTTTAAATCAAGAAAAATATAATTCACAGTGGAAAGACTTCATGATGAATGGATAGATAATAACTTCTATTATAAAAATAGTTTTCTTTTAAGAAGTCTAAGAATATTATACAATTTGGTCAAACTTTTAAATAAATCCCCATCTAAGGGTTCCAGAGCAGCTAAGCAAAGTTGCCCTGCAGAGGTTTTACCTGAAGTCATGTTTTCTTATTCTTTACTGTGCGGGCTAAATTCCACTGTGGGACAAGTATGAGATGACTATGCTGGAGCCACAGTAGATGTGAAGAACTTTTGAAACTGTTGAGATGCTAACATAAACCATCACACTCCAGAAGAAGACAGACAGCACCTGTGCTTCACAACCAGCCTCCTAACTGGAACATTTCCCAAAATACAGCTCCCTGCCATTCCTCTCACATCCACTCATCTGGTTTCATGATTCATTTCCCAAGTTCAGTTCTACAATTCAAATATTTCTATTTTGTGTTTCTCTCTTTGCCTCAAATTCAACAAACCTAAAATAAAATCAATCTCAAAATCTCAGTGTTGGATGAGATCCCAGGGGACATCTAATCTTGACTTCAATGGCTACATGAATAGTTTCTATAAGGCTTCCAAGAGGGAAGTTTCTCTAATCTCTTATTTCACACCTCCAGCTCCAGGGAACTCCCCTCTTCCCAGGACAGCCATTTTGGGAACCCAGCTTCCAACACCAATTCTACGTCCTGGGTTTTCCTGCCAGGAAATTATATCATCCTCTTTCTAGCTCTTCTGTCCCCTTAAGTCTGCAGTATTTGATTACTCCTAGACTATACTATTTAATCAAGTATGGGATGGGTAAGGCCTAAAGCTTTTCCTCAGCCCCTTCTCAGAGACCTTTAATTCCTAGAACACAATTAATTGCTGATTAATTGTACTGATAATTAAAATTAATCAAGAAATCAACCTTAGCAATTAAGGATTTCTTACTTTGAATGTTGTACTTCATGTGATGTTTTTGACCAAACAGCCACATGAGAATTATATCATGTAGCCATAAATTAGAAAGAGAGATGAAGTGATAATTGTGTAGTTTATATATCACTTACAGACTCCTGCTGAGAGAAAAGTGTTGTGTACAATGGGAAATGATATTTCAGAGAGACTTTGGCAAAATCTGCACAGTTCACAGAAGAGGGCTCATTTTTTTAAGTCATGTTTTTTTTTATCTGCTACTCTGTAAACCTAGCCTGTTATTTCCTATATAAAACAACAATAGTGAATAAACACATTTTTACATTTAAAGGTAAAAAACCCAACATAATCTACTTTTCCTGTTATACTAGTAATGCTAGCACTTCAAATTACATGAAAGATGCAAAATTTGAAACTTTTCATTGATTTTCAAATTATTTCAGTAGGATGAATAGAAATAGAATCCCTGAATGTTACATATCATTTCTCTCCACACCTGAACACAGACGTGTGCCAAAGGATGAGTTATGTGTAGTTCATTAAGGCCCAAATTCCTTTCTAAGATATGGCACTGGAAGAAAATGACTTCGTGATGAGTAAATCACCAGTTACTGGACTAATTTTCCAAAAGCTGTGTTGCTGCAAAGAGACCTGCTAAACACGGGGTGAGTCATGCTGCTGTTTAGAAGCCCACCAAAGAAGGCTATTCCGTCGCATCTCACACTTGAGTTAAAAACGTGTTCCACTCAGGGAGGGCAGCACTAAGTTATTTGAGGACTGCTACTTCCTAGAGGATCCAGCGAGGTAGAAACTAATAGAGAGGACAAGGAGGATTACTCTGTCTTGTTTAGATCTTTAATAATGAGCCCAAAGACTTTTGACTTTAATAATGAGTCAAAAGACTTGTGAAGAGGTGCTCTAACAAATGCCCATGCTGGCGTGTTCACAGCACACTATTCACAACAGCCAAATGGCGGACACCGGGCAAGGGTTCATCCATCAATCACTTGGCTATGGATGGATAGACAAATCGTGATATAGCCACACAATGGGATAGTATTTGTCCATAAAAGAATAGGATTACTGATAAATGAGGCAAGGTGGTTGAACCTCAAAAACAGCATGTTCAGTGAAAGAAGACAGTCACAAAATGTCACATATTACATATTCCACTTAGATGAAATATTCAAAATAGATAAATCCATAGACATGGAATGTGGATTGGTGGTTTCCAGGGCAGGGATGGGGGTGGGGGGAGGACAGGAAAGAGGAAATGGGAAGAAACTGCTTAAAGGGTTTTACTTTGGAATGACCGTGATATTCTGGAACTGGATAGAAGCATAAGTTGCACAACACTGTGAATATCCCAAATGCCATTGAATTATTCATTTTATAATGGCTAAGAAAAATAAAAGCAACAGATTTGTCTTAAAGCCAAACTGTTGCTTTTAGAATCCTCACCATTGGGCTTACCTTGCACACCATGGACGTCTTTGCTCCAAGCTTAGCAGCTTGGACACACTGGTTGGCACCTTTCCCTCCAAAGCCAATAAAAAACTTGTGTCCGTGGATGGTTTCTCCAGTTTTTGGCAAACGAGAAGTCAGACTATTATAATTTAAAAAGAGAAGAAATAAAGCACATTGGTAACTACAATAAATTTAAGTTCTATAGAAGCTACCTGGTGCTGCACTACATAGTCTTAACATTAAAACTGAGAGCTGACACAGGGGAGATCGCCTCCCCCTTCAGGGTGACATTCAGAGTTCCTATCATTGCTGGCATGGCCATTTTTTTTTTTTTTTAGAGAATTTCTTTTTAATATTTATTTTTTAGTTTTTCAGTGGACACAACATCTTTATTTTATTTGTATGTGGTGCTGAGGATCGAACCCAGCACCATGCGCATGCCAGGCAAGCGCGCTACTGCTTGAGCCACATCCCCAGCCCAGCTGGCATGGCCTTGACAGAACTCTCTCTCTATAGCCCACTGATGCAGCTGGACTTTGGGGGACAGCTGCTGGGATGCACTACATCAGGGTTAGTCACAGGTACTTCTGTTTCATACTCCCTCCCCAGTGGCTAGCACTGGGCTTTATTCACAGTGGGAGGTACAAAACTGGGATGAAGTCAACGTGTATTTCTGTACAGGATTAGTAGGTCACTTCTATAAGAGGGGAGAGGTGTACTAGGATTCTAGTGATCATGTACAGGACCTAAGGAGAAGAGGGAAAGTGTAATTCCAGGCAGGCAGGAAAAAATTCTATTTGTTGCTGGGTGCTGGTGCAGTGGCTCACACCTGTAATCCCAGCGACTGTGGAGGCTGAGGCAGGAGGATTGCAAGTTTCAGACTAGCCTCAGCAACTTAGAGAGGCCCTAAGCAACTCAGCAAGACCCTGTATCAAAACAAAAATCAAAAAGGGACTCAGGGCATAGCTCAGTGGTTAAGTGCCCCTGGGTTTAATCTTCAGCACCATCTCCCCCCAAATTATTAATTTACTTGGAGGTAGAAATAGGAGCAAGGTATTGAGGGGGCAGGATCAGATTTGGATCCTAGTCCATCATGAATGCCACATTATTCCATGCATTGACTAACAAAGAACATCTATTTAAAGCAATGGATCCTAAAGAGCTATTTAGTTTTTAATTTTTATTATGGAATTTTCCAAACATTAGAGTAGAGAAAGTAGTGTATTGACTCCCCTCACTCCTGTCACTCATCATCCAGACTCAGTAACTATCCACCCACGGCCAATCTTCTTTCAGTCCCTACCTTCACTGACTTCTCCAAAAGCTAAGAACTTTTTACCATGTTATTGCCTAATCATGTTTGTTCCAATATAAGATTTTTAGCACCTTAAAGATGGAAGATGTGAGCTGGGGTTGTAGCTCAGCAGTCGAGTGCTTGCCCAGCATGTTCGAGGCCCTGGTTTTGATCCTCAGCACCACATAAAAATAAAGTAAAGGTATATATATATATATAAATGATGGAAGATGTGAGGAAACAAAATATTTGGAGGAGGACAGCAAATGATTGACTATAAAATGGAGGAGGAGTTCTGGGTATAACAGTGAATGGAGATGGGCTCTAATGGCAGGAGGACTGGGTGCCTGGTCACATAGAAGAGGTCCAAGGGCCAGATGGAGCAGTTGGAGGAGGGTGGTGTGACCAGAAAGGTTAATTTAGGTAGGAAAGAAAGAGGTAAATTTGCAATGGTACACCCACTGAGAATAATGAACAAATTATAAATTCATATTAATTTTCAGGCTGTGATGTATCTGAAGTCAGTATCTTATTACATATCATTACATTAGAATAAAGAACAACGCCAGTTCCTACAGGTCACTAACAGCTTGTTTGCAAATGGGCTGACGTATAGTTGATGCCAAGAACACATAATTTCTTCAAAAGACGAAGCTCAACCTGTGAACCTTCTTTATGTGATTCTAAAAGTGTCAATAAGTTGGGCTAAACTATTCCATTCCCTAGCAGTATGCTGTCAAATATGGCTGAAATTCAAAAAAGACTCATCAATAATTTGAAAACATCCCACTCCTCCCCTTTTCAATTCTATTTTTACCTTGGATTCTAAATGCATTTATAGTACTGATGAAAAAAATATACATCTAGAAGGCTCACTTCTGAAAAAGGTACTCAATCAAGAGAAAAATTGTTTTAATGTAATGTTATTATCCTGTCATTTAATTTAGCAATGACAAGTGATGATGAGATTTTGATTTGCATCAGAAATCTTAAACATTTTAGGATTCTGTTATGAACAGGCAATGATGAGTAATCTGTGTGATTGAGTAACTATGTGAATTCTTGGCTTATTGATGCTGCTACAAACAACACTCATAACAACCTTATAAAGAAAAAATATCCAATGTGGCTAAAAACAGGCCAAATAACTTAATTAGCAAGACTGTCACTAAAGAAACTTATGGCTCTCACTATATTTATACTTATATCTGGGTCACAATTTGCTGGTTTGAATAAAATATCTTTTATTATTAGCTGTGGGAAATCATGAGAAATGTATCACCAGATTATTATTGGGATGTATATGTATGCAGGGGAGGGTGGAATCAGGGTATAGTGGGTGTCTGATGTGGAAGCAGATGGCTGGAATTTAAGCTCATTTCTAAATAAATGATATTAACACAAGCACTGTATTAATTCATCAATCACTGAAATTCTTCACTCCTTTGGTATTTTACTATTTTCGCTTCCTTCTGCATCTTTCCCCTGCTCTTGCTTCTTTCTATTTCCAGTTGTAGATTTTCCCTATACAAGGACAGGGATAGTTTACTATGTTCTCCATTTTATCCAAAGGGACTGTCACTTAGCAGACATTGAACAGATAATTGCTGATAGAACAAAATCATTTAAGAGTCTCCCTTTGTCTCTTTTCTATGTCCCCCCTGTATACCATCCATTCTTGCTTCTGAATCAAGGATGCTGAGGTGGTGATTAGGGGAAGGAGGAGACTGGCAGGGATGACTGTACAAGTGTCTGGCAACAACAATTCCATGTTTAACCAGATCTTGCCCACTGCATTCCCAATTTTAGTAGCATCCCCTTCCATAAGCAAAAACTGTCTAAGTCATATTATTATTCCTTCATTCATGCAATAATCCAAAAATGTTGATTCAATGTTTCCTGATGTACAGGACAAGATCAACTTGCTAACAATGGGATAAAATCCAAGCCTAATGCAAGTAACAGATGAGTGAAAAAAAAATAACAAACTCTTTATAGAGCAAGGAACTTATCATGATCTGGTTTCTGTCTTTTAAAAGGAAAAATATATCTACAGTCATGCTTGGCCTAACCAGAGGATTTGTTTTGAGAAATGTGTTGTTGGGTGATTTTGTTGTTTCTGTCACAATAAGCTTTTGAGAGATCACCTTTGTATATCAGTCCATGGTTGACAGAAATGTCATTATGCACTGCATGACTGCATATGTTCTCATATGATATGTAAATGCACGAAAAATGAAATGTTTATGACAGAAATCCTGGTGGGTCTAAAATTTTCATGTTTTACTTTATATAATTATGCACATGTAAGTGTATACAACAAGAATATATTTGTGTATTACGGGATACCATTCATCACTACTAATTCATTGTCTTTCCTTATTTTCCAGTCACCTCTTCTTCCTGTGCACCAATTGGCTTCTTGCAGATGAACCTCATGGAGCTCTGCCAGGGCTGCATGCTTTCTACTCTGTTTGCTGTGGCTCTTTGGGCTGTACTGAAAGACTGAACAACCAGTTACTTGGAGGAATGTCAACTAGAGCATGTCAAATATCTTCATATGGGCGCTTCCTGTTTCCCTGCTTCAATTCCATTGCCCCCTTATTCTTGCTTCCTCCATTACATTGCTGAGTAGAGTAGGTGCACTAACCGTATCTTGTATGCTATGCTTCTGTTTAACATAAACTAAAATATTTTATTGCATATTTTTTTATAAAAGTAAATTTAAAGAGTAAAGAATGGAATAGAGAGAGCAATTGGAAAGTTAATTACAAACAGGCAGAAGCATTTCTGAATTTTAAATCCTAATTTACTTTGAATTAAGCTTTCCTAATTTTTGCCTTATTGAAATCATGAAATTATGCTGATGTTTAAGAAAGGAGCTGCATAGAGCACAACCCCCTGGATTCAAGCATTACTCTTCTATCTAGCAGGGTGTTGAAGACAAATTAAAGTGCTCAAAGGGTGGAGGGAGGGCAGAAGCAGAAAAACACTATTGCTACCATTTAAAAATTAAAATAGTATACATTTCTGAAGGAGGGAGAAATCCCACACAGAAAAAAACACCCATAAGAAATACATTTGAATCCGAAACAAATTCGGAGTTTTAAAAATGTTATAACATTTTTGAATTGGACAGAAATGACCAAGTGACACATGGCCCTGTGCTCTTCCCTGCCATGAGAGGTCTCATGCTTAAGCCTGAGTATTTGAGGCGGGAGGCCTGAGCCTCTTGTGATGTATTACTTGACAGCTTTTCCCTCTTTGAACCAGCTTCTTCTCTTGCAAAACAGTTTAATAATACTTGTCAACTCCTGAAATGCCTGGGTTTTGTGCTCTGAGTTAATTCACTGACAGGTGTTACCAGAACAATTTATCAATTGCTTTTAACTTCTTGACAATGAAGTAGTTGTTTCAGATTCTCAGAGATTATTCAAACTGAGGGAAGGAATGACCTGGTGATAGGGGATAAGTTTTTCAACCAAAGAGTCATGCTCATAATGGCTTCAGCCCAAAGTCAAGGAATATGTGGCCTTTTGGCTTTTGCATGGGTCTATTCTTCTGGCAGCAAGCTTCTGACACACTGTAAGCCTCTACAATAGGAGATCATGCCATTAGTTAATACCCAATTAAAATTCATCACACTAATTTATTATTCTTACTGCCTGTATTCTTCAACCATATCTGTCCTTCTCAACGTTTGTGTATGTCATATTTAAAAGGCTGAGAGTAATTTCAAAATCAAGTTGTCACTTACAACAACATGGATGAACTTAGAGGACATTATGTTAAGTGAAATAAGCCAGGCACAGAGAGTTGAATACCACATGATCTCATTTGTTCTC